TTTTCATTCTTTTTGAACAGATGTTCCTCATCCGATGGTTCTACTCCACTCTGGACTACATCTCAGACTGCTGGGACAGTTTGTTTCACAGTAACTGGTATGGATTGGGCACCCATTGTTGGTATTCACTGCTTCCCTCTCACCTTATTTTAAAACAGATCCAATTTTAGCCTCCTTTTGGGTGGGAGTAGGACAGCACTCAAAAACACGATGGTCTTTAAGACCCAAGAAACAAGCTGAGTTTCTGGGGAAAGCACACAGTGTTACCTGATGTAGGCAGGAACTGAAATTGAGGCAGAAAATGTGAACTCACAGACCTGACTGCTGCTTGCACATCTTCCCCTCAGGCGAGAAATGATGCCACTCCTGTCCTTGCTCTTCTCTGCGCTCTTCATTCTCTTTGGCACCGTCATTGTTCAGGCTTTCAGGTGAGTGCACACCAAAATGCCCTCAGGGACAGCTCCTCAGTCCAACCCCAAGGCCTTAAACACACAAAACCCCCTTCCTCTGCAGTGATTCGAGTGACTCAAGGGACGCTCCACCCTCGGGGAAAGAAGAAACGGCCGCAAAGACAGAGAAGAACGACGCGAGCTTCAGCAAAGAGAGTAACAGGTTCCCTCTCTAACTTCTCCAGAATGTTTTCTGCAGAAGCGTTGCTCAGGCAGCACCTGTGCAGGGAGGGTTAGTGAAGAGCAGAGAAGTGCTGAAGTTGCTCTTAGTGCAGTTGTTGTGCAGGGCAGTGCAGGCACAGCAAGGAACAGTGTGCAGCCAGCAAGGACAGGGAGACACTTATCTGTTTATTAAACAATTCCCACTAATTTGCCCAAGAGAGCATCCTCAGGGGATTGGTGAAGGTCAGACCCACTCACTGAGGGAGGTGCAAACCGAGCCATTGCACCAGTTACACTGGCTTTTGCTGCAGGGCACAGGGATGGATTGGCATAACGGGCTCACAGTTTCTCCATCCTCAGTTGTTCCCAGTCCCTTGCACCCCTTTCACTTGGTTTTTTGTTGCAGCAGGATTCCCAAAAAGGGCTTTGTTGAGGTGACTGAGCTAACAGACATCAACTACACCAGTAACCTGGTGCGCCTGAGGCCAGGGCACATGAACGTCGTCTTGATCCTGTCCAACTCCACCAAAACCCCCCTGCTCCAGAAGTTTGCCCTGGAAGTCTACACGTTCACAGGGTGAGCTAGGCCCTCTCCTGGGCTTCTGTTGTTGTGTTAACCACTTGTGTGACGCTGCACTGGTGACACGTGAGGAGCAGGGTTGGCTCCATTGCCAGGAGTGAACACTTCTGGCAAGTGAAGTGACCTCTGCCCTCACCAGTGGCAATGAGCCACCAAAAACCTGGCTGTTCCCAGCCAGACTGGGTGATGGTGGCCAGAGGGGTCAGCTGCTGGTGCCACTTTGGCTGTACCCGTGTTTTGACAAAGAGAGCATGACAGGGCTGCATACACTGAGCTGAAAAAGGAGCTGTGGCATCACAGCACTGCCCTGCCCTTGTTGACGATTCCTGTCCAGCAGGAATCCAGCCAGACCCAGGACAACATGTGCTAATCCCACTATCTTCTCTGCTCTTCCCCCAGGAGCAGCTCTCTTCACTTCTCCTTCCTCAGCCTGGACAAGCACCGAGAGTGGCTGGAGTATCTGCTGGAGTTTGCCCAGGATGCAGCCCCCATCCCAAACCAGTACGACAAGCATTTCCTCGAGCGTGACTACACGGGCTACGTCCTGGCTCTGAACGGCCACAAGAAATACTTCTGCCTCTTTAAACCTCACAGATCAGGGGACGAGGGTGGAACCCTGGGAACGTGCGAGGATTACGATGCTTTACAACATGCGGAAGCCAGAGGGAAATCCTCCTGCAGCCCGGGATCTAGATCCATTAAAAACAAATTACACAAATTATCCTTTTGGATGGAACGCCTTCTAGAGGGTTCCTTACAGAGGTTCTATATCCCCTCGTGGCCCACACTAGACTGAGGGACTTTACAGAGATTCTAAGGGGACAAACTTTTTATGAAGATGACAAGGGACAGCTCTTTCCAGGAATACTCAAACAAGCGTGATGATGAATGGACCTTAGGTTTTAGATGAACTCTCCTGGGGCCGGCAACCAGAACACACCTCCCGCGTCCGGAGCCCGGGAGCGCAGCCAAGCGCACCCCTGTGCCCCCCACCGCCCCGCCGTGCGTTTGGACGCCGTACAACCGAAGAGCCAAGAAATCTGTTTTGCCTCTCTTGTCCAGTCACCCCCGTCCCACCTCTTGTTTTACCTCGGTTGAAGAAATCCGTGACTTCCCTGGGTCCGCACCAGCCACGGCCGGTGGCGCAGGCCAGATCGCGGTTCTCCCTCCCCGTCCCCGTGTGCTTAGCCCATGGTGCATGGTGTAACTCTGGCAAGACCCTGCAGACCCTCCAGGCCCTGCCCTTCTGAAAGGCCTCCTCCCACCAGGCAGTCGTACTCTCTCGGCTTTCCCCATGGTAAGTGATGCAGAATCTGGTCAGGAGCATCTCCCTCGTCGCAAAAATTAGCTGGGACTCCCCCGTGGTGCGGGCTCGTGGGCGATCTGCATGTTTCATGCTCCTCGTGTCATGGTTCCACCTGCAGCTTCACTGGCTGAACCATAACAGGGAGGGAAAGGGCACAGCCGTAAAATACTGTCAAAGTGTTGAGCCATTTAAATGTCACGTTGATTTTTTCAGATGCCTTTTCTGCTTCTGTCGATTTTAGACGATGTATCCTAGAGCCATAACTTTACCTGCGTCCTCAGATTGTAGGCGTGAGCTGCTATGAGCCAGTAGATGTGTAAAAAACCTCTACGTAGCTGCCAGGGAGCCACCTGGGCTCCTTGCAAACACCTTTCCAGCTGTAGTACAAACCAACCAACCTTCCTTTGTATCGAGGAACCTCATCCTCCAACGATTGTATTCTTGAAATGTTGCCCCAGAAGTGCTGTATCATCAGAGCGTTGCGTGCGTGTGAAGCTCCTTTGGTTTAGTCAGGGGTTGAGATGTTGGGTTTCAGCCTCCCACCTGTTTCCTTCTTGCCCCAAACCTCCACTTCTCCACACTCAGGCTGCTCCCGTGGCTTTGTGTTTGTTTGCTTGGGTATTTCTTTTGGAAGTGGTGGGGGTGTGTGAGGTTAGAGCAGATGCACAGCCCTGGGTTTGGACGATGCTTTGCTGTAGCAGTGCCCCAACAGCTGCTTCCAACACCACAGGGAAAGGGTGGCCCTGGGAAAGGCACAGGGCGGACAAGCAGCAGCCTCGTGGCTGCTTAACACTCCTCAAGTGACTGAGCGAGGCAGCAGGGCTTCTCTTTGTGGCCAGGACAGAAATCCTGTGCGGTTTGTTCTTTGTTTTCACTGCTCCGGGGCTGACAGTGGCACCCAGGCCTCCTCCTTCCATGGATCTGGAGCCCTGTGGCACCGTCAGGCACTGCCAAAGCACAGGGATGAGAGCCAGTGGCCTTTGCCACAGGGCTTGGAACACAGAGCACTCGGTGAACACGTGGTGTTCATTCCAGACTCAGCCCTTGCCACCTTAGTTACCATCTTAGCAGAGCAGCCAGTCAGTAGGAATAACTGCCAAGCCCTGAGCTGATCCCGCACAGAAGCCGGGAATGCTCCAGTCACTGCACTCCCTACATGCCCTAATTGCTCCCAAAGCCTTGCCTGATGGCATTTCCCCATCCTGGGAGCAGACTGGCACGCTCCAACCCCCAGAGGTACCTCAGATCCCCTGTAAAACGTGCTTCAAATAAAGGCTGCGATGCCACAAACAATCCCCACGTGAGGTTAATCAACCTCTGGGCTGTAGAATGAGGCACCAAAGTAGAGGGAAGGAAGGAAGGTGAGGTTTTCTCCCTGCCCAGGAGCTCCTGTGAAGCTCCTGTGAGCATGCACAGGCAATGCTGACAGAGAGCAGAGATAGAGTGAAACATCAGCCTGATGCTTCTAGATTTGATTTCCACCTGGCTGAAGCAATCACAGCACTCCTGCACTTTTCCCACAGCTTGCCATGCAGGATGTGGCTGGAACAGGTTTTAGCCCAGCAAAAGGCTCCACATAATGTCTTAAACATTTGCAGTAGAGGAAGAATGCTCTCTGGATCTCTGCTTTCTCTTCAGCTGATCAGAAACAAAGAGAAAACCCTCAACTCATGAGAAAAAAGTGCCTAGTTATGCTACAGTGAGGCAATTCAGCCCAACCCTGAGGAAGGGGAGAAGGCTTTTACGGCCTTCACATCCATTGTGTGTGTTGCACGCTGCCAGAATCCTTGGGTTTATTTTCTTTTCAGCACAGGTAACCTCCCCTTTCAGCCAGGGTTGAGCTGAGGGAGTGCTTCCATCAATCCACCTGTGCCGGCTGCGGCTGGACAGGAGCACAGCTCCTGGATTTTAATGGAAACGTTTGCCTGGGTTGAAACAAAAACCAAGCTGCTCTGCCCCTTGGTTTAGCTGGCTGCAGTGCCAGTGTGGCACTCTGGGTGTTTGCTGTCTCGAGACCAGGGTCAGAGCTGCTTATCCCGGGATCTGCCCTCTCCCAGCAGCCGTGAGCCGTCACCCCCGTCGTTTTCTGAACACTCGCGATTCTGTTCCACACGTGGTGATTCCTAATCCAAAGATTGAGGAGACTGGGACCTAGTGCACTTTCCTAGTGAGATCTGAGTGATGGCACAGTGCTCGGAGCTGAGGCAAAGCCCCAGAGTGGAGGTTGTTCCCAAACTCCTCCCTGTCCCTGCCTCTGCCCTTCACCCACAGGAGCCAGGACACGAGCGCAGCCTGACAAGTAGGACTGAGAACTAGGTACCTATTTTGCACTTTTGATACTGGGAGGGGGGGAATTAACTTATTTGGCAAACTTGTCTTTTTTATTTTTGGGGGTTTTTGTTTTGTTTTGTTTTTGTATTTGTGAACAGGCACTGATGTCATTTTGATTTAAGACAATTACAGGTTCGCAACCAAAATAAACTATTTTAATGTGTGATGAGGTGGCTCTGTGTCTCCATGTACAAACTAACCTCACCTCCATGTCCTCTCAGAAATTTCAGGAGCATTAAACTGTTCCTTCCATAGGAAACTTCTGATTATTCCACCAGCAGGAAATCCAGTCAAATTATCTCCCTGCTCAGCAGGAGGCTCAGGCCTCCTTCATGTCCTCCCTTCTTCTACATTCATTGTCCTGCTGTGACATCCTAATGGGACAAACCTTTTATCAGTGACAGTTTTCCCAGGAGCCCTGTGAGCTGAATGAATCATTCCAGAGGCAAAATGGCATTAGCCTCATCTGTCCCTTTCCCAGGCCAACTCCAAAGCTCCAGACCCCAGTTAAAAGGGGTGTCTAGCCTGTTCCCTACATTTTCCCAGCCTAAAAGTACCTTTTCTAGTGGTAAATGGCATTTATTTCATGGTGCAAAGCCCATGCTGGCTGCAGGTGGCTGAAGGAAGGGGACATGGAAAGCCTGGCTGAGGACACGGAGTAGCATTGCCCCAGGGCAGGTGGGAATTGCCCTCACAGTGTCTTCACTCCTGGGAGGACACACAGCATCTCAAACAGTAGATTTGCCCCCAGGAGGGCTGTATTGCCTAAAAAAACAAGACAAAAAACAGGAAAAAATCTGTATATCCATTGGCTTTCACCCCCAGCCTGTGCCAGGCACTTCTCTTGCCCTAAGGCATCTTCAGACTCACCAGAGACATCGTACATTGGTGCCACTTCCACGAGGTCACACCCCACTATGTTCAGGCCTTTGCAGCCACGAATAATCTCCAAAGCCTAGGGGGAAAAAAATGGATTTGGGATCAAGAAACACATCTGACCTAGCAGACCACCCCAGGCTCTGCTTTCCCCATACTCCAGTAAGGAAACCCAACCTCTACAGACCAAAGCATATCAGTCCCACACTTCCCTTCCTCATCGCCATAAGGAAACACCTCCTGGCCTCTCTAAACTTCGACTTTGCTGTGCTGGTGAAATAACCTCCTTTAAAGGGAGCAAAAGATCCCTTTCCCAGGGGAAGGGCAGCGGTGTCCCCCTCACCTGCGCAGGTGTGAGCCCGGCTATCTCCGGGGTGCCGGTGCCCGGGGCGTACGCGGGGTCCAGCCCATCGATATCAAAGCTGATGTACATGGGCTTGTCCCCCATCTGCGCCCTCACCTCCCTCATCAGAGGCTCCAGGGACTTCATCCAGCATTCCTCAACCGGGACCACCCGGAAACCCTGTGGGAACACAGGCACCTGCTTAGGGAAAAAGGGGGAGATGAGGAGCATCCCCTGCCCTGCTGGGGAATATCTACCGGGAACAGTCCTCATTGCTGCAGAAGTGCACCTGGAAACACCTTCCACTCCCCACACACACTTTAACTCAGCACTCAGTGAGCTGGGAGTGCTTGTCCCGCAGACAAACCGCTGGCATGGAACGAGAGGCCACAAATACATTTATTTCCCTCCCGAAGCCAAGCACTGAGGTGGTATTTACGGCAGGGAGAGCCCACGGCGCTGGGTGCAGATCGGTTTACCTGCTCCCGGCAGTACTTGTGGGGATCGGGGTCGTAGGAAGAGCCTCGGATGCCGATCTGCACCACGCGGCCGCAGTCCAGCAGCCGTTCCTCCACGCAGCGCCGGAACGGGCTCCCGTGGTAGATGCGCTCCCCCAGAGCCGTGTCTCCGGTGTCCGTGTGGGCATCCACGTGCACCAGCCCCAGGGGACCGTGCCTGGTCGAGACAAGGTGGCCACATCAGTCCTGTCCCGTGCATGGTGGCCCTGCCAACAGCAGGGACAGCAAACCAGGAGCCTTCCTGAGGCTCTTTGCCAGGTCCTTTCTCTCCATCTCTAGATTAGAAACTTACTTTGCCGCCAGGGCCTGCAGGATTGGATATGTTATGGTGTGATCTCCACCTGCAAGAGGACACAGGGAAGAGGGAGAATACACTATGAGAGCTGCTCAGCGCTCATTATTTTCATTCCTAAGTAATTTTCTCCTTCTTTGCATTTATCCTGCACTTAATTATGCAGGGCTTTGTTGCCAAAGGAAAACTAACGCTCCCAGGTGCAGGTTGCTTCCTCTCACTTCTCCTGAGAAGTTCTCTTCTGGTTTTCCTTCTAGAGAGGACCAGATATGCAGGACTGCCAGCAGGGACAGCCTGTGGAGCAGAACCCTTGACTGGGCTTATAAATAGACATTTGATCAGCTCCTGAGGACGCTGTAACTGGTGACTTGCCCCTCGTTGTCCACACACTCACTGCCTTCAGCCGTGCCAAGCAGTAACAGCTGTGAACTTGAACGTGCACCCAGATCAGGCTTCGTGCAAAGCCTGCTGCTCGCTCAGCTGGAGGGACACAAAGGACAAAGCCTGCTCAACAGGACACCAAAACCACGCCACTGTGGTTGTATTTACACACTGAGCCATCCTCCTCATTTTTGACCCAAAGGAGGAGGCATCACAGAACACTCTGAGTGCAGAGAGCCTGTGAATTTACCCACGACACAGCACAACAGCCCAGGCAGGGGATGGATTCATCACTCCCCTTCTGCCAAGCCTGCCTTGAATGACGGAGTTTGACGGAGCCAGGACGCAGTGGCAGGAGAGGGAGAGCCAGGCTCCTTACCCAAGGTGAGGGGCACGCAGCCCAAGGCCACGATCTCCTGGTAGGACTCGCGGATGAGGCGGCAGCTGTCGGGCAGGTTGTAGAGGTTCACGTTCACGTCCCCGATGTCGGCCACCCGCAGGGAGTCGAACGGTGCCGCGCCGGTGCTGCCGTTGTACCTCCGCACCATGGCGGACTCGGCGCGGATCTGGCGCGGGCCGAACCTGGGCGATGGCACGGCTGGCATCGCTCCCAGCGCTCCTCTCACCGCAGGAGAGCCGTGCCCGATGGCCAGAGGGAAGCAGCAGCTCCCCTGGATGGCACTTACCTGGCTCCCGGCCGGTTGGACGTGCCCGTGTCCAGCGGAACACCCACAAACGCCACGTCCAGCCCCTCCGCTGATGCCTGCAGGGGAAGCCTCATCATGGAGCAGACCCCCACGGGCCGGGCCACGAGCAGGGCACTGGGGGGCACGTTGAACCGTGAGCTCCAGCAGCTGGGGGCTCTGCTCCCTGGGACCAGGGCCTGGAGGAAGCCTGCAGGCACACTGGCTGCGGAGCTGGAGGTGGCCAGAAGGGCCGGGGGCCGCAGGCTGTGGTGTGAGGCGGTCACCATAGCGGTCACAGCTGGTTTGGGAGAGCAGAGCCCAGCTCCCCGGGGCAGCAGCTGGCTGTAGGCAGCCCAGAGCAGAGGCCTCATCCTGACCTGCACACTCCCACCCTGGGAAGGCAGCAAGGGGTGCTGCAGAGCCCGTTCCCAGCTCGGGCAGAGCACCGGCTGCCTCTGCCAAGCCTCCCTCCAGGGATCAAAGTGCACCGGACACTCCACTGCCCGGGGAAGGGCAGAAATCCAGCCCAGCCACCCCCCTTCCCAATGCCACAGTCCTGGCAAACTCTGGGAACAAACACGGCAGTGAGGGGCAAGAGCCTGCGCAGGGATTAGCGGGACAGGGAGGGAGGGATGTGCTGGGAGATGTCCCAGTTTGCTCACCCCAGGCATTTGCAGACAGACAGCACTGCAGCCTTTGTTGCATTAACAGCCTGTACTTTTAACCTGCACTCCACAAAAGCACCCAAAACGCTGAAGAATCATAAAAACGTCTCGTTAGCGGAAGGTAGAAGGGAAAGAAAACAAAAGGGAAGTCTGACCTCAGCAGAACCATGGTGGGGACAACAAAATGCAAGCACAAGGGAAGCATTAAGAGGGATTTAAGGACCAGAGGGACAAGCTGCAGAACAAGCATTTTAGGCCATTTTTGAGGATGGAATTGAAACCAGGGGAAGCAAGTTTCCAACCAGTGGAGTTCATCAGCGCAGATAAAACCCTGGTTGGGCAAATACAAACACACTGGATGGCTCCAGCCCCTAATTCTGATCCCTACTGGTATAGAGACTGGACCCAGGAGAAAAAGGGAAAGGCATGGGAATTGTATTCATGGCAGAAAGAGAGCTCAGATTAGAGATCCACCACACAGCAACAGCATTTACTCCTCAAAAAGCTACAGAGTGTCCAGGGCATGGGACTCACTGCCAGACCCAAGCACACACAAAGCAAAGGCAGCAGAAACACACTGCAAGAGCTCAGTAATGGAAGAAACAGCAGCACACATTTTGGCTGGGTCAGATCAATGTTACAAAGGTCTTTTTTTGCAGCTTTTCCCCCCCAAGAGGTCATTTACCCCGGTTCCCCAGGCTCTTAGCTGCACCAGAATAATGTGCAGAACCCTGAGTGCAGGTTATCCTGTGATGATTGGGGGTATCAGCCATTGTCATCCACCTGGAAACTGCAGGAGCAGTTCACCATGCAGGAGAGTACAAAACACATCCCCAAGGCAAGGTCTGTTCCTCTTCAGGAAATTCCACTTGGAGTCAAACACCATTTTCCACAGTTAGCACTGAGAAGAGCTGAATTCTCATTTAAGACACCCCAGAACCAATGCTCCACAGCCCAAATTGGATTGAGAGAACCCACACAGCCACAGAGCTTAATCTTTAATTTATTGTGCGACAAGCATAAATAACTTTGCCCCCGAATTCCTCTAAACACAATTATAGCCATGAAATTCAATGCTGTTTCATAACCATGGCTGTTGTTACTTAAAGATTGATTTCTCCCGTCCTCCCCACCAAAGGATATTATTTCACTGAAGGAAACACAGGCAGGTAAAAGAGCAGAGCATCACACTAAGCTCTTCAAGCAGGGGCTGCTGCCCAACTTCACTTTGTTTGGAGAATTATCCCTAACTGGAGAGTCTGACTCAGCCTTGGAGCCTGGGGCAGCTGCCACCACAGAGCTACAAGAGTTAAGAACAACGATAAGCGGGTTTTGAGGATGATGTGCTTCCACTCTCCTGCGTACAACTGCGAGGTTTTTAGTGCTGCTGACGCTCACGTTACCAGGCAGCACCTCATCAGGAAGTTTTCAGGCTGTCATTTCACAGCTCAGAAGAAAATGAGTTTCAAACCAGCCTGGTTACCCCAAGAACAGAGACTGCAGGTCCCTTTGCCAGCTTGGATTTCTGTATGCTGTCTAAATTGTGATGTTCCTATGCAAAATGCAGCCAGACACTGCCTCCTCCCAGCCACCCCTCCGAAAGGAATCTGCTCCACTCAACACACAACTCACAAGTCAATGAATTCCCAAATGGGAGCAAAACCAACCACGCACCTCTGGACACCTGCAAGGTCCACACACCCTCCCCCCAGAGGGTAAGGAAGCAAGGGCATCTCCTCTAGCAGGGACACAAAAGCAGCGTGGTTAACACTTGCTTGAGAGGAACTCAAGCTCCTAAACACAGGCCTGCAGCTTGTTCCCTAAAGCACTACAGGATTCCAGACAGACAGAAAAGGACAGGTTCCTATGTGCCTTTAGAAAGTGCCATTTATGTGGGATGCTTGTGTTCCAGGTGGTTCCTTCACCCAGAGTGGCTTCTCCAAGCCAGCAACAGGAATATTGCTGCCCAGAGGTCTTCAAATTCGAGGTTTGCCAAGAAGCACATCTTCATTTTGGTTTCTACCTGGCTCGTCTCTGCCAGCCTGTTGGTGAGCAGGGTGGCTGCAGACTGGCAGAGCAGCCAGGCAATCATCTGGTCAGGTTTCAGGCTCCTGGATGCTACAACACTGTCACCCCAGAGGCTCAGGTGCAGCACATTCGCAGCCACTCTCGCAGACAGCCTCTGCAAAAGGGGAAGGGAGATTAGCTGATCCTGCTGCACTCAGCCACATCACCAGCACGGAGCACTGGCACCTCCAAAACTCCCTGGGCCCCCCCAAAGGCACCACCCTGTGAATTAGAAAGCTCTTTGAGACTGTTATTGTATATATATAATGTTGTGTGTAACACTCCAATGTGAGGTCTGGTCCCGACACAAACATCTCCTGAAATCCCTGAAATGATTCAGCACCACTCAGCAAAGACATTTTTAGCTTTGATCCTTATGTTGTCCTTTGATCCTGCAGTGAGATCTGGATTAACCCCTGTACCTGCTCCAAAGCCAAGTGATCCACCAGAGATATTCCCAAAGAAGATATCTTGAAGGCAACAGCTTCTTACCTTGTTGGGATCTCTCTGAAGCAGCATCTTTATCACCTGCTTCACCTCGAGGGGCACATGGTCGGGCAGGCTTGGCAGCTGGTCCTCCTGGTAACTTCTGCTTTCCAGAGTCGAGTCCCCATGGCCATAGAAAGGATTGGCCAGGCCCAGGATTTCGTAGGCAATCGCTCCAACAGCCCAGGCATCAGCTTTACTGTAGTTGATCACTGTGCCTGGACCAGGTGATGCTGTGATCACCTGCCACAGAGAGGGGGCTACTCAAATAAACAGCTCGAGTGCAGCCTCTGTGCTGAAATTCCATTTTTAATGCTCAAAGCAGCATTTTCCCTCTAATAAACTTAGACACTGAGTCCAAAGGCAGGTTTAATCTGAATCTGAGGTGTAAATATTCCCTACTGGCATGCTCTAAGCCCCTGGCACTGCTCAGCCCACTGGGATGCTGGGAGGAGTCTGAACATTGCACTGAGGCTTTAGCTGTTGCCCATGACCAGGGCTATCTCCTGCTGGAATCACAGAGACAGGAGATCTGTAGGTGAACAACCAACACCATGGCAAGGTGCTCCAGGCCCAGCAGACACCACCAAGGGTGTCTTGGGTTTTTATTGGGCTTATCATCAGAGAAATAAAATGGAACTGTAAATAATTTCACAACCACCCTGAACTTCAGCCAAATACTACTGTTGCAACACAAGCACTGCTGCATTAAATTCTTAATAGCTACATAGAAAGGGGCCTGAATAAAGACTAAATTTGTTTGGGGTGAAGGGGGGAAAGGCTGATTCTGCCTCTTAACACCAACTGATTATGTTTCACCTGTTAGAGCTCAAGGTGTCTATTTGACATAGTTCAGCACAGATGTTTCACCAAGCCTAACCCAAGGTGAGACACAAACCTTCCACGCCACCAAAACTTCTAGTCCTGACAGCAGGACAAGCAGAAAACCAGCCCCAGAAAGCAGTGCTGCAGAGGGATTTACCTCAGGTGCCATAAGGCAGCCGTTGCCACCCCGATCCACGTAGGAGCTGGTGAAGGGCAGCCTCAGGCCAATGCTCTCATCTGCCAAACAGCAGCCAAAGTCAGTGATGACCAGCCAGGGGCAGCCAGCTGTGAACAACAGCGTTCAGTTTGTGAGGACCTGGCAGCACCAAACACATCACATCAACAGCCAGCTTTGTGTCCTCTGCAAACCGACTCAGGGGGCATTCCATCCCCTCACCAAGATTGTGGGTGAAGATGTTCAGTAGAGTAACCTGGTTTAGTGGGAGGTGTCCCTGTCCAGGGTGTTGGAATGAGAAGAGCTTCAAGATCCCTTCCAACCCAGGGAAGGTTGGAATCATTCCATGATTTTATGATTATAAATCCTGAGCCCCAGGAATACAGAATCCTCTGTGTTGCCCGCCTCTTGGGTCAGTCTCCAGGAAGGCAGGGTGGATTCCAGTGATCTCTCTGTCTCTCACTCTCCCTGATACTCTTTTCAACCAAATTCCTCCACTCCTAATTACACAAACCTGCCTGCCTCCTATTGCTTCCTGCTGATTTGACTCTCAATCACACCAAAAAAGAGCTCAGGTAATTAAAACTGCTGTTAGAGGCTGACAGGAGAACACATCAATGAAAATGCTGCATCCCTTCCCTCCCAACTCATGTTTCATGATCCCAGGGTGCAGCACTATTAACCTGGCCATGGGGTGGGAATTTAAGAGGCTCCCTGTACTCTCTGGCTTGGGAAAGATGACAGAACCAAGAGCCTGAAGCAAAGGGTCCTGCAGCATTCCAAATGTGGTGTTCCAGGATGCTCCAGTCAATGCTGGCTGTGCTCATGCAATCCATCACCTCAGCAATACACTATTTCCACGTTAATGATCCAAAACCTCAGGCACAGACAGGATCAGTGACTTGCTGCAGTGACAGCAAACACAAAGCCAAAAACTAAACCTGAGATTATTCAAAAGGTTTGATGCCTCTTTTCCCCAAACACACAGCTGGGTGAGATTTCCCCAAATACCAACATGACCGAAACACTTCTGCGAATTAACTGGCATTTATCCTCAGGGTTCTACGTACCAGAATCAAATTCAACCAAGATGTTGTCAGACTTGAGGTCTCTGTGTGCTATTCCATGTCGAACAAGGTGGTCCACGCCTTCCAAGAGCTGCAGAATCATCACTGTGGAGAGGCGAACATCCGGAGTGTTCTCCTGCAGATACTGGCGCAGCGTGCAGGGGTAA